CATTCAGCCTCTATAGCATGGGAAAAGGAGGATTCCATGATTATGTCTTGGCTATGGGATTCCATAGACCCAACGATCAGACCCAACGATCAGTGATTCCATTGACCCAACGATCAGTGACACTTACATGTTCCTGAATACCGCAAAGGAAATCTGAGACTATATCAACCGCACATACGCGAAGGCCCGTGATGCTGCCCTTGTGTATGAAATCAAGGCAAAAATCGGAGCCACCAAATAGGGAGACAAATCTGTCACAGAGTATGCAACTCTGTTGCAAAATCTTTGGCAGTAACTGGATCACTATTGAGTAATTGAGATGAAATGCCCTGATGATGCTGCCCCTTTGAGCTGCCACTTTGAAGAAGTTCATTGAGAAGGATAAGATATATGATTTTTTGGCAGAATTGAATTCTGAATTTGATCAGATTAGGATCCAAATCCTCGGCAAGGAGGGTACACTGCCTCTAGAATAGAAGAAAGTCGAAGGAGTGTCATGCTTGAACCACATACTATGGATGTGTCAACCTTAGTAGCAAAAACAAATCAGGAGAAGTCGAAGAATGATCTGCTTAAACACTCGGGTAGAGATAACCAAGGGAAGGAGAACAAAGACAATCTGTGGTGTACTTATTGCAAGAAACCAAGGCATACAAGGGAGAAGTGTTCGAAGTTGAATGGTAAACCTCCAAGCCGAGAATGGGGCAACCGTGGGGGGCAACAAAGGCCTCAAGTGCATATGACAGAGCAACCCAATATTGAGGAAAATTCAGCAATAGGAGGGTTCAACAGTGAAGAAATTGAGAAATTGAGAAGCTTGTTGGGATCTCTTGAGAAGCCTTCTGGAGCATATTCGATAGCTCTTTCAAATAAAACTGTTTGCATGAATGTCTTTGACAAATTCTATACCAACTCTTGGACTCCGGTGCTACTAACCATATGACCCCCACATCTCAACTCTTCCATGCCTATACCCCATGTCCAAGTAATAGAAAAATTATCATGGCCAATGACTCTTTAGCTATCGTTGCAGGGATTGGTGATATACATATCACACCTAGCCTTATCCTTAAAAACGTTCTTCATGTGCCCAAACTGGCAACCTCAAATGTTATGCTGTTTTTTTCCCTTCTTATTGTGTTTTTCAGGAACAGGACTCGGGGAGGAGAATTTGACTTGCTAAGGAAAGGAGCGGTTTTTACCACCTTGAACCATCCCAGAAAATTAGGAGCAATTTGTCTTCATCTTTCCTTAGTTCCTCGAACAAAGATGTCATTTGGCTATATCACTTATGTCTTGGTCATCCCTCTTTTGGAGTTCTAAATATAATGTTTCTTCATTTATTCTAAGGATTAGATATTTTTGAGTTTCATTGTGACATTTGTGAATTGGCAAAACATACCCGTGTATCTTTTCCTATTAGCAATAAAATAAGTTCTCATCATTTTCATCTGATTCATAGTGACATATGGGGTCCTTCCACTATACCTAATGTTTCTGGGGCTCGTTGGTTTGTATCCTTAATTGATGATTGCACCCGGGTTACATGGCTCTTCCTTCTTAAACAAAAATCTAATGTTAACACTGTTATACCTAATTTCCATTCAATGGTTCAAAATCAATTTGGGGTCAAAATAAAAGGCTTTAGGACAGACAATGCTAGAGACTACTTCAATCAAATTCTATCACCTTACTTTCAATCACAGGGGATTATCCATGACTCATCATGTGTGGACACACCCCAACAAAATGGGGTAGCTAAAAGAAAGAATGGTCATTTACTCAACACCACCCGAGCCTTACTATTTCAAGGGAATGTTCCTAAGTCCTTTTGGGGAGAAGCCGTTCTTACTGCCACATATATGATCAATAGACTTCCCTCCCGTGTGTTAGAAAACAAAAGCCCCATAGAGGTCTTAAATAACTTCTACCCTCACTTCAGAACCTCAAATGGCCTCACTCCCAGCTATTTGGGTGTACTGCCTTTGTTCATGTCCATAAACAACATAGAGGGAAGCTAGATCCCAGAACCATCAAATGTGTTTTTCTGGGTTATTCCTCCACTTAAAAAGGATATAAATGTTACAATCCCTCTACCAGAAAATTTTACATCTCTACAGATGCCACTTTCACAGAAAATAAACCCTTTTTTTCAAGTCCTCTTTTCAGGGGGAGATTTCCATGATGGAAGATAGTACTTGTGAGCCATTTGAACCACTTAAAATCCTTGACCTTCCACATGTGTCAGCCCGTGTTGTTAAACTTGAATCAAACTCTCCTCCTGTTTCAGTTGAACCCGAGTCCTCTGAACCAATCACATCTGAGTCACCTGATCCTGAACCCTTATCATCTCCTACTCCAACCAATGTCACTCACGATTTCCCAAAATTTCCTCAGGTGTATTCAAGGAGAAAGGTCGTTCCTGAACTGACACAAGTCCAAGAATCCAATCCACTTTATTCACTATCTCACTATGTATCTCTCAAGCGCCTATCACCAACCCACACAAAATTCATTGTGAGTTTGAACACCATTGTCATTCCTAACAATGTGTCTGAGACATTGTCAAAAGGGCAATGGAGGGACGCTATGAAAGAGGAAATGAGTGCATTAGAAACGAATAAAACATGAGAGATTGTTGACAAACCGAAGGAAAAAAAACATTGTTGATTGCAAGTGGATTTTTGCATTGAACTACAAGGCTGATGGATCCCTTGAAAGATACAAAGTAAGGTTAGTAGTCAAAGGGTACACTCAGACTTACGGGGTGGATAGATTTTCAGGAAAAATTTGCTCCCGTTGCAAAAATGAACATTGTGAGAATCCTGTTATCATTGGCTGCTCACTTCAATTGGCAACTGTTGCAGTATGATGTTAAAAATGCATTCCTTCATGGTGACCTAAATGAGGAAATTTACATGAACATCCCTCCGGGATTTGAAGGGGACATAGGTAACAAGGCGTGCAAGCTGAAAAAGACCATTTATGGGTTAAAACAATCTCCTAGAGCATGGTTTGACAGATTTGCAAGAGTAATGAAGGAATCTGAATATAAACAAAGTCAAGGTGACCACGCTCTTTTCATTAAACATTCAGCTGTAGGGGGAGTGACTGCTCTTTTAGTCTATGTGGACGACATCATAGTGACTGGAAATGATGAGAAAGAGAAGCATGAATTGAAGCTGAGACTAGTAAAAGAATTTGAAACAAAGGAACTGGGGAAATTGAAGTACTTCCTCGGTCTTGAGGTGACATATTCCACACAGGGGATCTTCATATCTCAGCAGAAGTACGTAATTGATTTATTGGCAGAAATAGGGAATTGGGTGTAAGCCAATCTCTACTCCAATAAGTTGGGAGAAGCTAAAGAAGAACCAGCTGCGGATAAAAGAATGTACCAGAGATTGGTTGGCAGACTTATATACCTTGCTCACACTCGACCAGACATAGCTTATTCTATAAGTATGATCAGTCAATTCATGCATGATCCAGGAGAACCTCATCTTCAGGCTGCCTACAGGGTACTGCATTACTTGAAAGGCAATCCGGGAAAAGGAATCTTGTTCAAAAGGAATGACACTCTACTCTGGAAGCCTACACCGACGCTGACTATGCTGGCTCCCTAGTGGATAGAAGATCAACTACAAGATATTGTACTTTTCTTGGAGGTAACCTAGTGACATGGAGGAGCAAGAAGCATAATGTAGTGGCAAGGTCATCTGCAGAATCAGAGTTCAAGGCTATTGATCAAGGATTATGTGAATTACTGTGGCTGAGAATCATTTTGGATGATTTGAGAATCCAATGGAAGGGTCCTATGAAGCTCTATTGTGACAACAAGTCAGCTATTAATATAGCTCATAATCCTATACAACATGATAGGACAAAACATATTGAAATTGATAGACATTTCATCAAAGAAATACTGGAGGAAGGGTTAGTGTGTATGTCCTATGTTCCATCAGAAAGACAATTAATCGATGTTCTAATAAAGAAACTGAACAGTTCAAGTTTCCATGATCTTGTATCCAAGTTGGGAATGGAAGACATCTATTCCTCAGCTTGAGGGGGAGTGTTGAGATGTGTCTGAAATACAAAATTATTTCTCTGATTTCCCACATTGAATTTTAGAGCCCCTAAATGAAAAGCAAGCCAACAAACATAGGAATGGTATGGTGAAACAGAGGCAATTTAGGAATCAATGGCTCTGTGAACAATAATAACTTTAGTGAATCAGATTGAATAATGTTTGGACCAAAACATTTGAGAATAGTGATTTGATAGTTGCAGCAAAATCATGGGACCAATGAGGACCCTAATCCTGGTACTCAAGCCTACATAGAGAACTGAACCTAACAAACATATATTTCAACATATATTCAGGAGAACTCAGAACATTTTTAGCGGGTAATCATCGTTATAGGCTTAATTATAAATATTGCCAAAATCAAACTATGAACCATACCTAAAGCAACTCAATACTCAAAATTACAATGCACTCCTCTCCGTACTGCTCATATCATCTGTTTTTGATAAGTATTAACTTCAAATTTCCATCATCCACTAAGTTTGAACTGTTTTAATTTTGGATTTTTTTTATTAAATCCTAGAAAAAAATATTTTATCGGTGCTTGAGAATTGCCAAGTGTACCAAAAGCACCAACATTATATTCATTTTGCTCCTTCAGCAGTTACTTTTAACTCTAGCAGATTCAGTTGCAAAAAATGAACCAAAAACTAATCGTCAAGCACTATCATCTTTCTAGCTAAATGGATTATTCACCGTGCTGTTATTATGAAGCATATTCTCTGATTGTATTCTTCATTTATACCATAAAACACTGAAAAAAGAAAAACCATCCCTATTTTCACTTCCATATCATGTCATAAAGTCAACTTCTAATTGAGAACCTTAGTAGTTCTTTCATCGAGTATTGCTACTTGAAACCTCATTGCTATTTAATTTTCTTACTAATTTGAATATATGTATAATATTGAAGGTTTCTTTGGCACAAATGGAATATCAACTTCCACGCTTAACAAAAATGTGGACTCACCTCGAACGCCAAGCGGGAGGCAAGGTTAAAGGGATGGGTGAAAAACAAATTGAAGTGGATAAACGTATTTTGCGTACTCAAGTAAGTTTAGTGTCTGATTCAACAAACTTCAATACATTCTGCATTTTCCTGTCCAGATTTATGGTATTTGGCGAACCCATTCGCTGATAAAGTATTTCTATTTTATTGTAATATTTAAAGAATAGGATGGGTTTATAGAAATAAACAAAGTAAAAATATTTGAAAATAATTCTTAGCAAGGTTTAACTTGATTTAACTTAGTATCAACACTGAAAATCTCAAGTTTATCATGCACAGATAGGAATTTTAAAAAAAGAACTGGAATCTGTCAGGAAACATCGGAAGTTATATCACAATCGCTGTTTATTGGTACCTATTCCTGTTGTATCCCTTGTAAGTATGCTTGCAATTATACTATTGTTAGATCTTATTTTTAAGTTATTCTCATGATAATATTAATTTTAAAATTCTAGGTTGGATACACAAATGCTGGGAAGAGCACGCTTCTTAATCGTTTAACTGGAGCAGATGTTTTAGCCGAAGATCGTCTGTTTGCTACACTAGATCCTACTACTAGAATTGTTCGGGTATGACAATAAACAGGATTTCCATGTAATTAATAAATTTTAGATGCATGTCTTTAGAGTTGTTTGTGCGATTTTTTATTTTCTATTTTTATTATTTTATTTATTTTATTTTATTTTATTTTTTGTTTTTTTTTGGAGTTGTTAGTGTGATTCTACAACTTATCATTTCACTAAAAGTATGAGTTGAAGGGACATCAATCAATTTCAGTTAGTGTATAAGGAATTTCCCATTGAAAATAAATTATACGCTTCCATCTTTTTGAAACACATGCATGGTGTGATGTTCAATTTGTTGCAAATTTTGTTTTGAAGTTATTTTAGAGCATTCTCTTAATCAACTCTTATGTATCTGGAATGATCAAATAAATTCATATAAATAAATTATCTTGCACATAAGAGAAGAAAGGATACCCTTAAGTCATGGTTTTTAAACTAGATTAACCCATTGATTTAAAAATAAAATGCAGTCTTTACATTCATCATTCGGCACTTTATGCTATCTTTAATATATCTTTGAATTGATATAAGTGAAAGGAATTCACATTTGTAATCTTGTACACATGCCTTACTAGACCCCCTAATGGCATGAGCTTTATTCATTAGGTATGCCTATTTTTTTTAAAATGTGTACACATACAAGTTAAAATCGTATATTGTTTCAATATTATTAAATTCTTATGATATATAAAATCCATCAAATGCCTCTAGGAGTGTATAAAGAATTTAATTAGACTATTCTTTCTTTGTGAAATGCTTTAACGGAGAAGCTACTTTTTCATTCCTGCAAAATAAAGAGAATTTATACTGTTCCTGGTAATTACTTCATGATTATGTCTGTTAGTTTTCCCAGTAATAACTCTGATGTTTCTACATTATATGCAGATGAACAACGGGGGACAGTTTCTTCTTACAGATACTGTCGGGTTCATACAAAAGCTACCTACTACTTTGGTATGCTTTATAACTTCCATATTCTGTATCTCTTTATTTTTGGTGGTGAAGAGACAAAAACTCAGGAGCGTTTATCAGGAAAACCTGCATAAAACTGTTTTTGTGAAATGAAAAATCCATCAAGCTCATCGAATCCTTTAAAAACAAAAATGACACACAAAAAACACAAACATTTTCATTACCTAAGAAAAAAAAAACAAAAACTTTTCCATCACCTTCATTTTGTTGATACTATATTGTTCTGTGGAACATCTGCTCTACTTCAATACTTTGCTTTATTTGCGCCTCTCAAAATTTAGATGTTTTATTCAAATATTAAATATGAAGTCCATTAGCCTATGCTTACAAAGGCCCAATATTTCATTGTTGTATTGCACTTTAATACGGAAGGAGTGAAACACATTTCTCTACCTAATTTTGAAATAAGAGGCTTTCAAAAATGATTTTATATATACTTTTATACACATTGCAATATTTATATAATGCATGTAATATGTATATGCAATTTTCATGTGTTTAATTCATGTTCATCTATAAACATAATAATTTTTGGCTGACGACCACGTCATCGAGTTTCTTGATCTTTTAATTACACACCCCCTCTTTAGGAGGCGATTTTTTCCTCTGAATTATGCTTGGGGAGAGACAACATGTCAAATCTCTCTTGAGCGTATTACTTCATCTTGAATTCCATTTATCTTTTCTTGTTCATTTATGTATCAATTTGGTGGTTTACTGGTTTTTTTGTTCTCTCTTTGTTGATGTGGTGTCACATAAGCTCTTCAAACTTCTTCTATACTATGTAGCGATCATATTGACGCTTATAGTGTTCTCTTCTTGAGGTATTCGTCTACCTTAGAGTGAATTATCTTGATTTTGTTTAGAAATCTTTAGGTTCTTCTGAGGCCTCCATCTCAGCTCTTATGACTGATTTTTCTTGTTGAAAGTGAAATGGATATACAACATGCGTTCATTCCCAAGTCTTTAGATACTATGCATTGAATACATGCAACAGGTGCACCACATTCTTCACCATTTCAGCTTGGTCATTATTTTTTCAATGGGAAGCCGTGTTTCTCTTTAACATTATATCCATCATAACCTTGAGTGCTTTCCATAATAAGCTAAGAAAGTTGGAGTTTTTGTCCAAGATGATTGAGCTTTTTGAGCTAGAATTCATCCAAATATTTTTGAATAAGTGGCATGCCACTTGATCTCGCATGGTGTTCTGCTTGCATGTTATGAGGTTAATTATCTTTGAACATTTATCCATCACTATAAAGTTACAACAATTTTGTATCAACGGCAAGAAACTCCACTGAGATGATTTCCTATAGCTATGTCACAGTTCTCATCTTTGATTCTTTTTTGAGGTATTTTGTGTGCAATCCTTTTACGAACATTGCCACTTTCAAGTGCATTCTCGACCAATAGACATATATCCCTGTGGATTTGATAGTGTTTTATTATAGTGCCCGACCACTATGGAGGTGTGTGCTTTAATTACCTCACCTGATTACTATCACTTGAAACAAAGGGCTAGTAACCTTCTTACATGGTATATTTTTCTTCTCAGGCATCCTCTAAGACCTCTAGTAAATCGTCATCTAGGTTGTAGTGGTTGACATGTTGTTCTTGATTTACTGGTTATAACTGCATTACTATTGATAAGTTCATTGAGGATGAGTGACCATTTCCATCATCTTGTACCGCTTGCCCTTATTGTATCGGATGACCAGGTTAAACATTGCGGGCACACCATCCATCTCACATGTCAAACTTGTTGAAGTGGCTTGTTACTCATGTGAACCACAATATCTTTTTTTGAGCACATAAAGTCGCAAGTGCTTCATTGATTGGTGAAGTGCGATTAACGTTTTTTCATAATTTGGGCTCCCTATAACAACTTTGAGCTATATGCCATATGTTTCTCCTAGTTGATCATATTCACATCAAGTGAATGTCCAAAACTCCAAAACCATCACCTTTGACCTCAAATAGCTTTGAAGGTTGGAGAAGGGTAAGAGAGGCACCCTCGCTTATTTTCCCCTTACAAAGAAGAATCATGTCCTCACGTTTTCTCTCATGCAAATTTTTTTTGTCATTTGTCAGTGCATGTAGAATATGACGATTACTAAGAAAATGCAACTAAACTTCCTTATCGAATGACAAGCTACCATAAAACTCAACATGTTGGTCACATTTTGTGACTGAAGCCAATCCTTAGTTGCCTTGATCTTATTGAACTATCTTTAATTCGCTTCTACCATCTTTCAAATTTAAGCATCCAGGAGTCATACTTCTTTAGGTTGACGACTAATTGACTAATGCTTCGTTCACTACCCAATCATAAATTTTTATTTTCTATCATTGAACACAAATGTATTGGGCAAAACTTCATCCATTCTCAATCAATATATGTTTGTCTGTGGGAAATGTTACAAAAATTATCTCATAGGGATGACGCATGCACTCAATGAAAGAGTTCCTATGTTTTCATCAGGCATGCTGAAAAATGGCATGATGATGTCAGATCTAATAATTTTATGACAATGGATGTTGGAGAAAATTTCATGTAAAATCTTAAAGAAATTAAGATGCGCCAAGTCATATTTTGTTATTAACATTATCTATGCCATATTCAAGATCTAGTACAGTCTTTATGACTTACATTAAGGCAATGACACCGTCATGGCATCTTTTGACTCTAACCTATTATTGACAGCAACTGAATATTTTTGATGAGTAATGGAAGTCCCCAGAAAATACCCACTTTTATGAGATGGTAGTGGAACACAAACAAGTGCACAAGTCCCTATTTGATTTATATTAAAATTTAGATGACTTTAATGAGATAATCTTATGACTGAAGCTTCTACCACATATTTGTGAAGCCATGTTTGAATTTTGATGAGAGGAAAGTAAGAGCATGGTAATGTTGGGAGGTGCCCAACAACACTTAAAACTCCAACGAAGGCAACTTTATTGTGTTCATGAACCCAAATTAAGGCATGGGGATGCTAGACTCGAGAGGACTGCCAAACTACGGCTCAACTATTGTCAAAAGATTGGACAAAATTTGACAAGTATTGGAAAATATGTAGATGGCCCTTGAAAATAGATGGACTAGAAAGTCCTGAAAAGCATGGCAACACAACATCATCAAGGCTCTAACTTCCTCTAATCTATGCTCATTCAACATAGTGCAAATCAAATTCTTTCAAAAATTGTTTTCGTAAGCAATACTCTTAATAAGTTCTATAGACTATTAATCTACGGCGAGCTTACTTTTGCTATGAAAATAGTAAACTCATCTTTACATTTGGAAAACAGTCTTGGATTGTTGACTCGAGTGCTTCTCATCATATGGTTGGTGATGCTACACTTTCTTATAAGAATAGATCATGTTATGGAAAGATCATTGTTAGAATTGTATATTTATCCATTTCTATTGTTGTTGGCATTGGATCTATCATACTTTCAATAATAACTGTACGCAAATCTTTGCTTCATGTTGCAAACTTGAATTGTAATATTTTTTCTCAATAAAATTACAAAAGAACTTAGTTGTGTTACTATATTCCTTTTTAACTTCTGTGAATTTCTTGTCTTGGATTCAGAGTAGAAGATTGTAATGCTAAAATGGTTTTTTGATTCTTAAATATTTGAAAAGAATCTGCGAAAGGACAATATTTTAGGAAAACTCTGAATAAAGATGTGAAAATGTTCATTTATGTAGATTGGACAAGTTCTATTATTGGAGATCAATTTCTAGATATTCCACATATGTGTGTGTAAGTTTTGTCACATGGAGAAGCAAAAAATAAGTTGTGCTATGAAATAATGTTAAAGCAAAATTAGGGAGCTATGACACATAGGATCTATGATGAAATGTAGTTGGAGAGAGAGCTATAAGAATTAACTAGATCATTCAACAGTCCAATGAAATTATTGTATGATAATAAAGCTATTTTCAACATTGCAAAGGATCTGATACTCATGAGCGAACCCAACAAATAGTGATTAATCGTCATAGCATCAAGGAAAATGTCGTTGACAATATTATCCTACCTGTTTACACTCCCCCAAATTGTTAGACAGCTAATATTTGTGGTGTTGAGACTTTGAACTTGTAGTTTGGTATGTTTGATATCTACTACTCTACTTGATGGGATGTACTGGATGTTTTTAGATTACATGGATTCCCCTGTCGGCTCACCAACACCTATCCAGGGAGCTTCTATTCTTGTTTCATCCAACCTTCAGCTCTGATGTGCTGATATTTCTTTTTTATATAGCTTCGTCCAAATCACCATTTTTCCTTGTGTGTCATTAAAAGTAATAAAGCTCTGAGTTTAACTCTTTAGGTCATGCTTTATTATTATTTTCCTTTATGGTTTTGAAAAATGGTTTAAAGGAAAAACTAAAGTTCATCTCTTCCTATTTTCAATTTAAATCTAGCTACTGTACTATAGATGTAGTGAATTGTTAAAATAAATAGTCTTACACTCGTTTGTTTTATTCTCTTTTCTCACCCCATCGATAAGTAGTCTGCATCTTATTTAATATGGAAATATTGAAGCTAAAAGATTCTAATTCTCTTTGTCAAAGTGATGCCATTATACAGGTTGCTGCATTCAGGGCTACATTGGAGGAAATTTCTGAGTCATCCCTTTTGGTTCACGTGGTGGATATCAGGTGCTAATATTTCGATAGGTTACTTATTTTCTTGCCTCCTCTTTTTGCTAGCCTTATCATGCTGTATGATATTTTATTAATCTATCAAGTAACGTGGTGTAGTCATCCTTTAGCACAGCAACAAACTGATGCAGTGGAAAAAGTTCTGCGTGAATTGGATGTGGCTTCAATTCCAAAGCTTGTGGTGTGGAACAAGGTAACTCTATGGTAACATGGATGTTCCTGGTTATAATTAGTGAGAATACATGCTGGTATGAAAGAGTAAATTGCTTCTCTTGAAGTCAGTATTTTGTTTATAAATTTCATCATAATCTTAACTATTATCATCAGCTTTATCCTAATTATTTGGGGTGGCTTTTTGAATGTTTCTTCTCCATAAGTTCATGATTAATACTACTGGAGGCGTTAAATTTATTCTAAGTTGATCCTTCTACACTAGTCCTATCCATCCTACTTTCATCTACCCTTTGTCTTCCAAACAATATAAAATATAATGAAATCACTTATGAAGAACAAAACTGGTTCACAAAAAATGTTAGGAGATGCAACTTCATAGTGGCTTTCATCATGAATTGTTGGATTCGACTGTTAAATTTTAAAAAATTCGTAAAGTTAAAAATATCGATCGTAGTAGAGACTCATTTTTTTATCAATAATACTTATGTGTTGACCTCAATTTTTTCGTGAGGTCTAGTCTTCCGTTTAGGGTTTAGGATCTAGCCTTAGGAATCTCCCTTCCCTTCGACTATCTTAGAACCTTAGAAGTGGGACCCGCCTCGTTTTAGTTCGACCCGCTTCCGTCCCCTTCTGGAGTTTCGCGTGCGGGGTATCAACTTCTAGCACTTAGAAGGACGAAACCAACATGAGGAAACCCAAAAGGGATTCCCTATAGGACCTTCCTGAGCCTTAGGGTGGCCTTTTGCACAATTCGCACTCCCGCGCGCACAA